TAATTTCGAAGGATTCCGTAAGTTTCCCGTTGTGAATTACTTCATATACAGCATTGTCGTACAGCTGTTGGATGAGGTGTACAATTGCTGGCGGCACCCCGTAGTAGCGAAGTAGCTTCCAAATCGGCTCTCGGTCGACGCTGTTGAAGTCCTTTGAAAGTCGATGAAGTTGAGATAGAGAGGTGACTGCCATTCCAAGTTTTGTTCGATGATGATCCATAATGTGGCGATTTGATTAACACATGACTTGTTTCTCCTGAATTTAGTCTGTTCTGGTCGAAGTTTTTCATCCAGGGATGGTTTGATTCCCTCCAGAATGATGCGGCTTAGTATTTTGCTTGGGATGGACAGAGGCATAATTCCGCGCCAGTTCTTCCACTGACTTAAATTTCCTTTCCTTGTCTCTTTGAAAAGAGTAGCCTTCCTACAATCCTCGGGTACCTTGTCCTCTTTCCAGCCCTTCTCCAGTAGTGGTGTTATCAAGTTCGCTGATGTCTCTGGGTCCATTTTCAATGCTTCTGCCGGGATTTCGTCTGGTCCTGTTGCTTCTCCAGTTTTTAGCATCTTGACTGCCTTCAGAACTTCTGCTCTCGTTGGGGGTTGATGTTCACTGGTGTCTGTGCTCCCGCTGTTTGTAATATTGGGCGCGTTGTAGGTGGTGGTTGATCTAGAAGTCTTTTGAAATGTTCAACCCAGTGTTTCCTTTGCTCCACATCTTTGATGATTGACTTCCCCTTTTCATCCTTCACTGGCTTAATTTCTGTTGATCTCTTCCCCGATAGGAACCTAGTTGTTCAGTAGAGTGTTGCCAGGTCTCCTTTGCCTGCACTGCAGTTTGTTCAGCTTCACTTGCCATGGTTTCATAATACTTTCTTTTGTCTTCCCTGGCACTCTTCTTTACTCTTTTATTCAGTGTCTTGTAGTTTGTATTCAAATCCTGTTTTTGTTGCTCGTCGGCGCACTGGATAATCTTTTGTTTCACCATCCCTCTCTCTTCTATCAGTCTCCAAGTGTCCATATTGAGCCACTGTTTGTCCTGTCTCTTCTTTCTGCCTAGAACTTCCATGTAGGTTTGACTCCACACCGCCCTCAGGTTGTTCCAGTGTTTTTCAACGCTGGTCTCTTCGTTAGTGTCTCGGCTTTGTCCTTTATGCTTGCAGTGAAGATGTCCTTTGTGTCCTGATCCTTCAGTTTTTGAGTGTTGAACTTGGCTTGTGGTCTATCTGCAGCTCCTGCTTCTCTGAAAGCTTTTAATTTGATTTGGAGTGTTCCTTGTACGAGATAGTGGTCTGAGTCAACCTCTGCTACTCTTCTTACTTTTGTGTCCAGTAAGCTGCGTCTCCACCGCCTTGAGCAGCATTGAGATCAAGTCAATCTGGTTTTTGGTTCGCCCATCTGGTGACACCCATGTAGCCTTGTGGACATCCCTGTGCTTGTATACGCTTCCTCTAATCATTAGTTCATTGAAGGCTCAGAAGTCAGAGAAGAGTTCTTCGTTTTCATTCATCTCTCCGAGTGCTTCTCTACCCATGATGAGTTCCCTTCCTGTGTTGTCTGGTCCCAGTTTGACGTTCATGTCTTCCATTAGTATTTTAATGTCACCAACTGGAGTATTGTCCATTGTTTCCTGTAGTTGTCCATAGAATTCTTCTTTCTTTTTGAGGTCTGCGTTGTTTGTGGGTGCATAGCACTGTATAATAGTCACCCTCCTTCCTTTTGAGTTAAATCTGGCAGTCATTATCCTGGCAAGATCGCCTCCCATTGCATCAGGGCCTTCAATGCGGTTGGTGACACCATGATAGCCACGCCCTCGGTGTGCGTGTGGTTTTTTTCTGGGTGACCGGAGTAGATCACTGACTCTCCCGTTGACAACTTGATGAGTCCACTCCCATTCCATCAGCTTTCGCATATTCCCAGCACTTGAATACCATATCTTTTCATCTCATTTGCGATCTGGGCAGCTTCGCCAGTTTCGTACATGGTGCGGACGTTCCATGTCCTCACAAAGACGTTTTCTTTTGTCGTAAGGAGACTCATTCATACTGAAATTTCTGTATCAGTTCTGTTTGTGGGGTGTGGTTGCTAGCCTTACCCCTGGAAAGGGGGTTGTTACATATGTGTGTAAGTCACAGAGGAGCGACTTTTCATGTTGCTCTCTTTAAAATCAGGAAAACAAGAAATAAAGCAGTCGGAACAACAAAGAAAAAAATCACACCAAGAAAGGCAGCGACAACAACAACAAAAAACCGTAGCACTAGTATCACTGTCAAATACATTTAACAAAAATGATATCAAAACCATAGACTCACTGACTTAGGGTCAACTTGGGCATGTAAATCCAATAATATTACACAGTCACAGATATTAGTTTGTGTTAAACAGTCACAAAATGCCAAATAGTTAATTATAAATATTAATAGAATTTGACATTATTCATTACAAAAATATATGAGGACTGCTTATGCACATTTCTATTGGTACAAATGTCTATCGACAAGTGACCTTCAAATAAACTGACTACGATGTATGTAAAAAATTTTCACTATATATTTTAATGTGTTTTATAATAAAATCCGAATAATTCTGTTGCTGAAGAAGTTGTGGTGGCGTTCACACAGAAACGTTCAGAAAAATCTTGTCATGTTGTGATTTTTTTCTTTAACACGCTGGAATTATGAAAAACATAAAAGACAGATTCACCGAAGAAAATTTTCTTAATCGACGAAATCATCCTCAGAGGCTGTACAGTCGTATTTATACTTACAAAATCAAAATTTTTTTTAACAGGGAACGACTGGTGAGAAAGTTAAGACCAAGGTAGAATAAGAAACTGGACAAACTTTTTCTGTATACAGAGTTCAGGGTTATATTGATGAATTGCCAGTGCCTCCGCCATACACAAAAGCCGAAACTTGACGCCCTTTGTACCATTTGGCCTCACTTTGTAGATGATCTTGAAGGACGACTCTGGTCGAGCTACGTCGTCTGAGTTCACCAAATGCTCGAGAATTGAGCTAGTAATTGTCCTGCATTGTCCTTCTGCTAACCATGCCGAATAATGTTCAGAGATGCGTTTGGAAAGTGTGCGGTCGCTTTGTGCGGCCAATATAACTAGCTCCAGAGGAGCAGGTGAATTTATAAACACACAATGAAGTGGCCCAAAGCGGCAGTTTATCCTTCACACATCCGTTGATCATTTGTCGGGTGTAGAAATTGATACGTAGCTCAGCCATAAAGAAGGCTTTCCTCAGTGATCTTTAGGATCTCAGCTGCGGTATCACCTTTAAATTCAACACTCATAAATAGCAGTTTCTTTGGCACCGTCTGTATTCTTTCAGGCTTTTCCCTTAACTTCATGTTTTTCTTGATAAATCTTGGAGGATATCCATTCTCTATGAGGACTTGTCTGAGTCGCTCCAGTTCCCCATCGATTTCTTCTCTATTTTGTAATTTTCAATTTTAATTTTAGTTTGCTTTTACTTTAATAATTAATTCACTATCATCACTCTCATATGCTCCTTTTGTACATTTTCACACCCTCTTCACACTTGTTAAATTGACACTCAAATACCTGTATTCTGACTCAATAGCAATTTTAACCTTATCAAATTTCTATCTTTGTTCCGTTGAGTACCATGTAATTTACAACTTTTAATTTTCACTTCTAAAGCCACTTTTGAGTAATTACATCAATTATATCACCCACCCCTATTACTCAATAATGGACCACTAAATATTTCGTAAGTATAAATACGACTGTACAGCCTCTGAAGATGATTTCGTCGATTAAGAAAATTTTCTTCGGTGAATCTGTCTTTTATGTTTTTCATGACTCAAGGGGTATTTACGCTGGGATTATTTTATAACAAATAGGGTAGGCTAGATGTAGTAAGTCCAAGGGTGACAAATAACAGTAATAATAGTGAAATAATAACGATGATTTGATGTAAACTTAAAAGTGCCATTATTGAAAGATTATCAAATAGAATAATGAATTTGGTGCAGTGAAGTGAACACATACACACACACAATCTTTTTCTTCCCATCATATGTCTGTCTGTCTATTTTCGACATAGAACTCTGCACATATCTGCGGCAGTTCAAGTCGCCACACTCCCTTCATGTAGCACACAAAGCAAGAGAAGAAAGTAGAAGAAATGCAAAATATAGACAGTAAACAGAGGTGTGAGACAAAGGTATAGTAATAACGAAGAACAACACAGTTTCATTGGAAATCATAAGTCACAAGGAGTGGGTGCATCTGCACCAGCCATTGAGAACGATTTTGAGCCATGTCACCAATTGTTTCCAACCATTGGTTTTTACCGTCCCGAGAACCCCAACCAGGAAGTCTGCACCTTCCTACGTGGCTTAGACTAACTGTTGTAGATTTCATTGAATGGTGCCATGTTTTGGTTTGACCACCACTAGCTCTTTTCCAACCTGATCCGATTCAAGTCAGCTAACATTGCCCGTCGAGGGAGGCGATGACTAGTTCATACGTAACACATGTCCTAACCATCACAGTCTCGTCGACTGATTTCCCCTCCTTACCTAGCACTCGACGCCTAACCTCAGTATTGCTCACCTCATTATACCACTTCACGCGGGGGATAGAAGGCAGACACCTATGATCAAAGACAGCTAATCTTTTCATGTCTTCCGCTTTCAGTGGTCAGGTCTCACAGCCATAAAGGAGGACGAAGCGGACTGCTAAGCAGTACACACGCCCTTTGGTCGGTAGCCGGATATCGCGTCTACGCCAGAGATGTCGTAAACTGGCATATGCGAAACTAGCCCTCTGTATTCATGCTGAGATTCTTCCCATCATATAAAAACTCTTGATAATCGTTCACCAATGGTGCTGATGTGTTTACTATTATTATTATTCTCTTGCCTTCCAAGTGGAACAGAGGGTCTCACCAGCTCATCTACATTTAACCCTGTACACTGTAGTCTCTTGCATTTGACTGCAAGATTGCACATAAGTTCTTATCTCCTCCTCACACACCAGCTACTCAATGCTACCCTGACTGTCAAGCCCACCTTGTCGTTTCCCATTCAGGTTCCACTCGAGTTATGGCCTGCACAGAGTGTGATGTCACTCAACCGTTTCCACAACATATATCCAATCCATCTCCATTCCCTCCTGCTATTTATTTGTTTATATATATACTGTATTATTATTATTTTTGTTTCCTTTAATTCCTAGAGGAATATAGGGATTCAGCCGTGCGTCTTCATTGCGTTCGGTTCCCTGCTAGAGTCTTCACCTCGCTCTAAGTCTGCCCACACGTTTTCATCTCCTCTTCACATGACCTCCTCCAAGTCACCCTCGCACTGACGACCAACTCGCCGCTTCCCTTTCAGGTTCCACTCGAGTGATGGCTTGTCTAGTGATGTCACTTGATGGATTGTTTCCTCAGAGTATGGCCAGCCAATCCATCTCCATTTCTTCCTGCCTATTTGTTTCACATTCAGTTCCTGCTGTGTTGGTTCGCTCATTGCCAGAGATCTCTGTTGCTAATCTTTTCTGGCCGGCCATCTGGTCTTGAGTAGTATTGAGCGAAGACGACTGTTAGTGAAGATCTGTAGTTTGTTTGAGATGCTCTTCATGACGCTCCATATAGTTGCACTGACTTCATATTGGAGTTGAGAATCCGGATCTTATTTTCATTTTCATGCTGAGTGCTGTTGACCTCCACACAGACTTGAGAGTAGTGAAAGCTTGTCTTGCTTTCCCAATGATTCTTGCTTTGATATCCTCGTCAGTTCCGTCGGCCTGTAGTTGAAACGATGCTTCCCAAATATGTAGGTAAAGGAGGTTACTTCTTTCAGGTTCCTCCCATTTATGGTGATCGTTGTCTGTTGTTGTTGATGTTGCCCGGCAATCTTCATCACCTCTGCTTTCTCTCTCTCTCTCTCTCTATATATATATATATATATATGCTGTAGCTGATGCCGATGACTATAAATTTCCCTTTGAAAATTAAATCTTTACTGATTATAAATTCATGAACAGTTCAACCACTAGTTTCATCTCAGCTTATTCCACTTTCTTAATGGCTGCACACTTTAAATACATTTGAATGATAATCAAAACTAAATAACTATTATTCCATATTGCACTTGTACCACCATACGCCTTGCGGTATAATTTTAACTTGTCTTCACTGGCCATTACACAGTGGCATTAATTAGATTTCTAACTGTATAGCCTGTAGAATAACTTATTGACAACACTTTTTCACGTCTAATTATGCTTGTTCTGAATAAACTATGATAATACTTGAATTACAGAGGCTAGAATTAGTGAGAAGTTACATTTTTTTATTACAACACACGTGTCATACAGAACAAAGTTCAAGCATCACTTATCTTGATGGAATTCACTGACTCCCTGATGAATATTTGTATTATTTTCGGTCGGCAGTTTGTTTATACGTCATGTCATGCAAATAAAGGACAATTTATTGACGACCAACAACAGTATGATATATATTTGCTGACGTTCATTTATTCTGTGCATCAGAACGATTTGATTGGTAGCTTGTTTACGTGATACAGTTTCCCTGATATCACTCAGCTACATTATAATGCTTGTTTGACCGATAGGCTAGGGAAATCAACCAATCACGAGCATACTAAGCCAGTGACAATCATGATGCTACCAACAGCAGCCAAAGCTCTTACGCAATAGGATAAAATCTCCTCAAAGATAACGACAGCAAGACTCAACTAATAAGGAGAGAAAGTTACAATTATTCAGTGCTAATCGCAGAATAAGAAAGATTTCTACAAACATCTGCAAACGGTAATGGATAGGATTTTGGATGGCGACATCAAAATACTAATGGTCGATATGAATGATAAAATGGGAGCAAACAACATAGGAAGAGAACTCACAGTAGGTCAGGAGGATCTCAGCAAAATGAATGAGTACGGAGAAATATTCACAGACATCCAGATGATTGCAGGTAACGTGTACAAACGTAAAGATGCACACAAGCCAACAACGGTTAAGCCTAACGAACAAGCCAAAAACCAGCTAGGCTTCACCTCTATGTTTCTCAAGAGAGTGGAGATACAGGCTACTGCACATGAAGTCGAGAAGAGGAGCAGATTTAGGCTCAGACTATTATCCAGTGAATGGAATCTTGAATGTCAAGCTGAAGGCCTTAAAAACAATCAAAGATAGACTACAATTCAAGTTCAGTATCCAGAAACTGAAGGATAGAACTAAAAATGACACATTCATTGCAGCTATCGGGACAAAGCTGGAGACATAATGTAGTATCACTGAGGAAATCTGTATAGAAGAACATTGGAACTCTCTGAAAGCGATGTTCCAGGAAACCTATTCAGCTGTCTTAAGAAGGAAGAAGAGACAAGTAAAGGAATAGCTCTCTACGGACACTTGGCAGCTAATAGAGGAGATAGAGGTAACGAAAGAGAAGATGACTCAGCGCAAAATGGGTAACAGAAGGAGAAGGTGAGTCCAATGTATATAGCACTAAATAAAGAAGTAAAGAAGAGTGCTAGAAAAGACAAAGGACAATTCTAAGACACACTGTCAGCCAGAACACAACAAATTTGAAAAATATCACTTCGTTCACCCATATAGGCAACATTATTTCAATTACATGCAGCACAGATCAAGATGTTGAAAGCCAATCAGGAGTGGATGATGAAAGAGAGACAAACTATCATTACTCTAAAACCACTGTGGGAATCTGGGCGTGTAACAAGATTCGGCTTTTCAGCACTAATGTGAAATGCGTCATTCTATACGATTTAGAGACTTGAAGCGTCACCAAGAACATTTCCAACAGGCTGCAGACTTTCATCAGCACTTGTCTTCGCTATCTCGATACTGTATACCAGATGGCCGGCCAGAAACTATTAGCAACAGGGAACTCTGTCGACAAGTCAACCAAGAGCCTACAGACTAAAAGATGGCACAAAGAAATGAATTAAACATATGCTGATGAGATCGTTGAGTGGCATCATACTCTGTTCAGGCTAAAGCTCGAGTAGAACCAGAATGGGAAACAACGAGTTGAGGTTGGCATTCAGGGTGACATGATGCAGACAGTTTGAGGAGGCGATAAGAGCTAATGGGTAATGTTGCAGTGAAACACAAGGGACCGCATTGTACCCGATGAAATTTAGATGTGTTGTTGAAGCCCTATGTTCCATTCAGAACCCAAAGGAACAAGAATAATACAGTGGGCTTAGTCTTTAGGAAGCACTCGAAGTCAAAATGGCAACCAAACTGTCCATACTCGTTGCAAAACGAAAACTGCTTCTATCTGAGGACATAAAACTTTTTTACAAGAAGCACGAAGATGAAAATGATGCAGTGTACAGTTTATGCAGAAAGCTGACCGCCTATGTTTTTCATTATCCTGAATACTTTAACGACACACAAATTAACTTAAACATCATTGTCGTTAGGTCATAGGGATATGCGATCACCAAACATGAAATCAGCAACACAACAAATGATTTTACTGAAATAAGGAGCTTAAAACTGGTTTTATCTTTACCATTATTACAGTGGTGGTGTGTCTTTTTCTTTTAAAGCTGAGAAACAATAGGATCTATGGAAAACAGCAGATACAATCAAGGGGGGGGACATTACACTATCTGAGAACATATTTAGCGTATCTCACTTTGTATTACAAATATTATCTTCAAAATTTGAAAGTCTCTGAATTCAGTTAGTAAAAGAACAGTTTTATCTGTCTTGATGTCTGCGAAAAAAAATCTATTTCAATACCTCGTTATTTGACGTCACATATATGATATGAATGTATATGCATCAATCAACCAATCACAATTCACACACTGATACTGATGCTGAGGTGTGTATTGTGTGATTTACACTCTTTGTCAAATGTTTATAAGCTCAAAAGTCACTCAGAGATGTTTTAGTAAAACGTTTTGTGCGAGTTTTTCTTTCTCTCTTTCTTGTCTATCTCCGTTAAGCAATCTATTATTGTAAATCAATGTCTGATCAAGAGAGTGATGATCAAATGGATGATCAGCCGAGTGTACCAGATCAAAAAGTAAATCATAGGAAATCGGCTGGATGTTGTCAAAATTATGGGAATGCAATAACTCATGGACTGTTTCGAAAGAAACGTCATGAAAGAGATATTAAGCAGGTATTGAATATTGGGTCTGGTGGACATTTATCGCTATTCAAATTGGTACTTCATGGTTTAGGTGAGTTGTATGTAGATGATCATTTCTTTTTCTGTTTGATATCCGTATTTATTCTGTGATATCTACAGAACTTTAATTTTTAAAACGGAAAGTGTGGAATACATATGAAACACTATAGAGAATTCTGTCAACACAAAGATTATGTTCAAGTATTGATTTGTAGGGATTTGATTGATATGGTTACAGGATTTCATCATGAGCTGACATAGGTTAGAGAACCATTGGAAAACATGCCGGGGGTACTGGACAACTGCTTTGTCCCAATGGCTTGATGGTCTACGATTTGGCTCGCCTTGTAACTAGAAGGTCGTGGGTTTGAAATTTGGCGGTGGGTGCGTGCTACTGAAGAGTCTCAAGTTAGGCTGACGAAATAACTATCCAGTACTCCCTGCAGGTTTTCCTATGGTTCTCTAACCGATGTCAGCTCATAATGAAATCCTGTAACCAATTACAACGATTTTGCTTCACTTTTTAAATGCATTCATATTGAAGTGACACAGTTGGACCAAATATTAGGCATAACATAATGCACCACTGAATAATTAAGCTTTGTCATTCTGTTTTATCCACACACTAGAGGTTATCTGACTTGTCAACTCTTGTATTCTAACCATCCCTCTTTACTGCTCCCCACTAATCTTTTGTGGACTACTTAAGAAAGACTTTGCTTTGCAGCGAAGGGCACTAAAAGCTGTCAGTAGGGGAAGTGGGATCTCGTTAAACCAACTGGTTAACACCATTGTGGATAGACATATAATGTCATGTAAGAAACTAGCGAATTCTATATTGTCAGACCCCGAACACCCTCTCTATACGCAGCTCTCTCCTTGCATTTCATCTGGTAGAACTAGAAGCAACTATAGGAAGCTATATGCCAGGACTACCAAGTATAAAAACTCCACAATACCTTATCTGGCACAGCTGTTATGTGATGAGAAAACTGTTAGGTATGACATGATCAATTTACTGCGGCACTCTAACAAATAGTTCCCATTAGCTCTTGTTCTCCTTTCTTTGTTACTATTATATTGTTGCTCACATATTCTATTACACACTAATTTTATATTCCATATCCTGCGGTGCATTGTTTAAATATGTGAATGCAATGCTGTTCTCTTTTATTTCTTTTGTTTCTTTTTTTCTTTTTGTTGTTGTTGCTTTTAATTTTTAAAATCTTATAAAATTTATGAGGTAATAAGATGCAATATTGTAATGCACGCTGAAAATTCCATACCTGTACCACAAATACTGTTTGGAATAAAGCTATTATTATTATTATTACTGTATACACAGACAACAAGAATTTTCGCTGTAAATTTGCTATTTAGTAGATAAGTGAGAAATCGGGATTCAGCGATAGATAGTAAATGCGCCAGGACAATCTTGGTAAATCTTGAAGTCCGAAAATATTCTTATACACAACTTGGTCATTTAATAGCTAGAAAGGTCGAAAAGATGTTGATTAGAGCGTGTCGACTAAATATGCCACCTTCGAAGTCGAGATTTATATCTCCAGTTAAACTAAGTGTGTCTCTTACCAATAGTTTTTTACAGTGAATTTAGAACAACACATTTTAGCGAACAATATTGTGTTTTCAATTAGATCTCATCTGGCTTAACTCTAATATACATAACTTTACAAATAAAAATTCAAATATAAACCAATCATGGTGTTCTGTCCATAGGATAATCAGATGGTGAATATAAATTGTGCAATTAGTTATAATAGTATAAAAACAGAAGACAAGGGTCAGGCAACAGAACGTTTATTACGGAAAATCAACACATATTCATAGATTTTGATGTACATTATTGTAGGTTAATGTTAGTAGAAAATAAAGTCTGTTGATTGGTTGTTTCTCACACAAAGTTAACCTTGCATCTCTTGTGGCTGTGTCATTTCATCTATATGTTAACTGTATTCGCCTGTCCATCTTGACCTTGACCTCAATTACTGTCAACCAATTTGGCTAATAGACAGCTCTCACCACAATAATAGTAGTAGTGGTAATAATAATAATAATGGTTTTATCAATAATTAGGATGAAAAAGTGAGGCAATCTGTGATAACACGAATAACTAGAAACAGCATGATTAAACAAATAAATGTTCTGTTAGAAGTAGCCGATAAAGACTAGTAAAAACAAATGAACCGATTAAGTAATGTTAGATTTACGAGTTGATCATGGACTGATATCAGTTAGAGAACCATTGAAAACCAACAGGGAGTACTGGACAGCTGCTGTTTCATCCTAGTTTGGGAATCATCGGCAGTACGCACCCACTGGGATTCGAACCCAGGACATTCCGGTTACAAGGCAAGCTCGTATACCATTCAGCCACTGGGACCCGATTCAATGGCTCATGAATTCTAACTTCTACCAATTCGTGATTTAACGCGAACCCAACCATTGTCGTTGGCGGGACATCCATCCACACACGTGACTTCTAATTGGACCTCACTGGTCACGACTTGTAAGGGAAGGAAATGAAACACGTTTATAATGAAGATAAGATTAAGGGATGATACGAAAGGGGTTGAAAATATAAATAAGGAGTGGTGTGGAAGTCATCATTTGGTTATGTCTTAATAGGCCAACAAGGGAGGGATAATGGCTGTACAAACTTCTTTTGAATGCATAGTTTAGATTTAATAGTTCGAATACCTATTGCCTAAGGTGTGTACAAGAGACGAATACGAAGTCTATTGGATAAGCCATCATTAAATTGTAACTTAATAAATGGAGGTTTTTTACGTGCAATCATTGTCTAAGGTTTTCTCTCTGATATTTTCATATGTTTCTTTATGAAACTACTCGGATTGCCCATCTCCGTCAAGGAATCATGAATATATGCAAATTCCTTTTGTAAGAGGTCATCCATACACATCTTTCTTGCTCTGCTCGTAAGACATTTAGCGACATTTCTTTAATATTTAATGGGGACGTAACTAAGGAAGTGTGTGTATTGCCCTGTGAATGTGCTTTTTCGATACACGCTTCTTCCAGGTGACCCATCTTTTCGCCTACTTAGCAAGACATCCAGGAAATGTAGTTTACTATCCTGCTCCCCTTCACAAGTAAAAGTAAGCGAAGGGTGGACGTTGTTGAATTTCAGCAACATCTCGTCTGTGTTTACATTCCCATCAGCTAAGATGAATGTTTCGTCGAAATATCGGTAATTCATATCAAACTCCTTAAAGATGAGGCAGTAACTCATCGAAGAAGACATTGCGAAGTAGTCACGCTACGTCGTGAATTGGCAGAAGTTAGAATTCATGCACTGACCATTGGATCGGGTCCCAGTGGCTCAATGGTCTATGAGCTCGCCTTGTAATCAGAAGGTCCTGAGTTCGAACCCCAGTGAGTGCATACTGATGAAGAGTCCCTAATTAGGACGAAACAGCTGTCCAGTACTCCCAGGTCTTCCGGTGGTTCTCTAACTGATGTCACCTCATGATGAAATCCTCCATGCAATCACACAAAATCCCTACAAAACCAATACTTCAATTTCCCATTTTCAAGTTTTGCAAGGAAGAAGTCAGGCCTAATGGTGAACCCATAGCTGTTCTATCTACTCGTCGGTAGTATGAATTATTCAAGACAAAGTGAACATACATTGTGCATTTAAGAAGTAATTCTTTTAGGCTACACAAAGGAATTCCGAAGTCCAATCGCCTTTCGGTGATATCTTGACAAATGTAATCTACCGTTTCTATAAGTGGTACATTCATGCGTAGTGAACATACATTTGTGGATAACATGGGTTTATCCCTCATATTAGTCTTGTATATTTTAGAAATGAAGTCGAAGACATTACTAATTTTATAAATCTACTGCATATTAAAGCTCGCACAGAAGATGTTGTCCAGGAATACAATAAAACTTTAGCAACTGAACTACCCAGATCAGGGATTACAACGACATCAAAATATTTATAAATTTCAATATAGAAAAAATCCCCATTGAGACATTTAGAAAACAGAAAGATTGAGCGAAGAAATATTTACTTTTCAATTAGATCCTCTTCTCTGGCTCTACTCTAATATGTATATACAGCATTTTTGTTACAATACACAACAGTTTACCAATCAAGTGGCACTGATATGTTTGTTAACCATAATTAGTCAGTGTCAACAAGTCAATGGGTTGATAATTAACGAAGAAAATCAATACACATTTAAAAAGGTAGAAATAGTTAGAATAAATTAATTTTACAAGGATAACACCGTTTAAATGTGTATTGATTTTCTTCGTTTATTATCAACCCATTGACTTGTTGACACTGACTAATTATTGTTAACAAACATATCAGTGCCACTTGATTGGTAAACTGTTGTGTATTGTGATAAAAATGCTATACTTGAATATTAGAGTAGAGCCAGGGTGAGATGAGGATCTAATTGAAAAGTAAATATTTCTTCGCTCAATCTTTCTGTTTTCTAAATTTATAAATTTGTGTAATATATATCATGAAATATTCCGTCTTACCTTCTACATTAAGAAGTTAAAACATTCTGGTATAACTCAACCCTTACTCCTACAATTCGTTAATTCTCGCATTCTGCCTATTATTCTCTATTGTTCCACCTTAGTTTTTCCCGGGCTACTGAAGAAAGACTATAACATATTACGCAGGATGTTAAATGTTTTCAGCAGGGTAAGCAACGTGCCACTTAGCCAGCTTGTTAATATTCTGGTCGACAGGCACATGGACTCATGTGAAAAATGGGCCAAGTCCATTTTATCTAACTCACACCACCCTCTTCACTCACAACTCTCCCCTTGCATCTCATCAGGTAAAACCAGAAGCCTATATAGAAAACTATATGCTCGCACCAGCAAGTACAAAAACTCAACCATACCCTACTTAGCTCGTGTTCTGTGCGATAAAGAAAGCATTAGGTGTGACACCTATAATTCCTTAAATATTCAGTAGT